TTGCCTCGCGTGGTTGCCGTCACATCGATGTGCTGACCGGGTACAAAGTGGTGAGCTGACAAGTATGCTCCTGCCAAGTCGGAGAAGGGCGCACGGTCCCGAGATGATTTGTGAGCGGAGCTGCTTTGAGAAGAGATGGACTGCTACCTCGCACAACTCACCGAGCGGTACCACGGCATCCTTGGTGATCTTGAACTCCTTGATGACCTTCTTCGGCCCAATGTCGGCTTTGCGGAGGTGACCTTTGATCTGAGCAGTCACTGTATGTGCTTTAGCGTCGACAGCAGCGACCTGCAGAGCAGTGTACGCGTTTGCAGGAGTTCCATCCTTGGCAGGGTCCAAGCCGATATGAGCCGAGATCTGATTCGAAGCGACCTGAAGTAGCGTGGCGGGTACGCATGTTCCATCTGACAGGAAAAATGTCGTCATTCCTCTTTTGAACGCTATGAGACCTACGCGACGAGAATTGGGAGTCCAGTCGACGGACAAGCTCGAAGAGATGGAGCTCGACTCGGCTGCGGAAACGGCCTCGTGGGAGGGAGCGGGCTCAGACAGATCGGCTGCAGAAGTTTGAGCCGTCTCGCTAAGGGAAGCGGATGTCGAAGGACTGGCCGTCGGTGCTGACAGGATGACGGAGCTGGACATGTTGCGTGAGCTCGTGTTTGATGTGAAGACGCTCTTCGAAGATGAAGGGCAAGAAACATCGGACGAGGCGACCGAGCGACTCAAGCTCAGGTTTGCGAGCGCTGCGGAAGCGTCACATTGCCTGGCATGAACTATCACGCTGCTCGTGGCTCGTCTAAGACCGGTCCGTGCTGGAATAGCGAATGCAGACATGTTTGGTGGAAGACGGGCGAGGAGGTGGGGGATCAGAGTGGGAAAGGCAGACAGGAGAGATTTTGACGGATTTTGAAATGGCCCGGACTGACTGGACGCGGCTTGAGAGGTGGGGAATGGCTGTGCAGGCTTGAAAGCTGCTGATCACAGGAATCTGTGAAATGGAATAGCCAGGAAGAAAGGAAGGTGCTCTCTGCGTGCTGGGTGCTGTGTTGCAACGAGTCGTCGATGTCGATGTCGATGTCGCGCATGCGCAGCGCAGGCACGCACACGAGCAAATCCAAGCAAAGGTGTGCCCGGCTGCATGCGTTGATGTCGAGCCACGTGCCTTCAGGTCACGAGCTGGGCGGGACGCGCCCGCGGCGGGGTTCTTGGC